CACGTTCTTCTCATTGATGTACAGCCCCAGCAGCCCAAGCCCCCCAGTTGTGCTCCCACAGATACAGTCCAGGAACTGCAGTGTCTCACACACCAGGTTGTAGTTTGTCTTGTTGTTCTGGCAGCGTAGGAAATTCTGTGGGGAGAGTGACAAAGCCATAAGGGAAGGGGGAAAAAAGGCATCCAAACTGCTGTTTGGTTGATAGTGTTTATTAAGTTCATCCATCCCTAACTGCACTGCATGGTGGATTGCTGTAGGTTCACTGTACAAGCAGTTTAAGCCTCTTCCAGGGCTTATTTTCAATGTGCTGCTCTCTTGAGCAGCTTTTTGGCTTCACATTGTACAGAAGCCAAGCAGCAATAAACTGAGTGCATCCAATAAACAGTGCATCCATTAGAGGTTGAAACCCAACACGGAGCAGGCCCTTCACTGCGGGTCACAAAGCTCTCCTGAGCCTGGAAGGTTCCCTCTGCCTGCTCCATTTCACTGCCAACCATCACTCAAGGCCCTCTCCTCCCTAGACCTTTTTCCAGGGTGGGAGCAGAAATCCCTGGCTGTGGCCTCACAGCAGCTCCACCTGTTCAAAAGGCACCTGACTGCACACCTCAAAGGAAGGAGCCTTGAAACACCATCCTCTCCACTGCATTTCTTCCCACGTAATTACTGTAATTCCTGCTTGAAGCTGCTGATTAGGAGCAGCTCCTCTAATGAAATGCTAGATGGATCCGTGTGGATTTAACAGGTTTCTGCCCTCCTGTATTCCAAATGAAAAAAACCCAACCAAATCCAACCAAAACCAAAGGACAGTTAAAGAAAACCAGTTTCCCAGTGACTTGGACATTGTCATTGCATTCCCAGCAGTGCTGCAAAGATGGACAGCCACTACCACTTTCTTTTCCTTGATGTTTCAGCAGGAAAACTCTTATTCTAGCAGGTAATTCTCTTAATTCTAGCAGGTAACAACACTTCCAAGGTGAAAACCTCTCAGAGGAGCAAGAGACATGGGACTATGGAACCAGCAGGGTCTTTTCTGCCAGCCCAGAGAAGCCCTGGTCCCTGCCTGCCTCTGGTGTGTGCGTCAGACTAGTCAGTCTTTTGAGGCAAACAGAGGGAGAAACTGCAGATTCAATGGAAGGCAAAGCTAAAAAAGGAAAATGCTGTCTATGAATGCAGACTAAAGGTGACAGTGATTCAGCACATTTCAGTTGATTGCTCATTTAGTATCCTGACTTCTGATTAACTTGTCAGAATGTAGAAAGGTTGATGCTACAGAAATCAGAGCTTGTGTCTTCCCTCCAGGAAAAAATAAAAGATAATACTGAAAGCGATGAAATAAAATGTTCCCTGGCTGCAGCACAGCATTTGCTCTGCTTACAGATGGGTTTGTACCTTAGCTGCTTGATCCACAGTCAATAAACACAAAGGAGGGAGGAGGAATGAGGCACAAGAGCAGGAGGACACTGTTAGATGAGCTAAAACAAGGGGAAAGAAAAAACTAGAAAACAAGACCCTGCTGCACTGTGAGAAACTGCCCCAGGGAGTGTCTGCTGCTGTCCCAGGCAGTACAGAAAGAGCTCTTCATTTTCTGTCATCCAGAGCATCTCACAGGCTACAGAGCGGGAACACAGAGTACTGAACGGGCCATCCCACTGCTTTCCATGGGAATGATCCTGAGGGATGGACCACCTGAAAGACCCTGTAACCCAGAATGAGGAGCCACAGAGATGCAGGTTCAGCCAGAATGTGTAGAAAATATGCATCAACTCATTGCTCCCAGTCCTTGCATTCATCTGAAGAAGGTATTGCAGCTCCTCCAGCCCCATGGAAAGAGCTGGAGGGAACAGCACCCTGTCTGGAGCTGTGTGTGGGAAGGGAAGCAGCGAGGGACACAGCAGGCACAGCACTGCAGCTGCTGGAGCACCTCAGATCCCTCCTCCTCCAAACACAGTAGCTCTCATGACCTGCCTTCCCCTGGGTTTGCACAGCAGCTCCTCACGGCTGCCAACAGCCCGGAAAGGCTTGGGGTGCCCAGCCCAATTCACTGCCCATTCCAATGTAACCTGGACAATTCTGGGAGAAGCACAGCTTCCAGAAGAGTCTTTCCTTATTCCTTCAGTCCTTTAGCATTATTGTAAGGAGCTCAGCTACATACAGTAGCTGCAGACACCAAGATTTTGGAGGATCAGACATCCTGCTTCTCCTTTGGGGCTGAAGAAGAACTGGGGCTGAAGGAGAAGGACAAGCCTCAAAGCAATTGGAGGATTAGATTGGAAAAATTGTTCTACCTTTCCTTTAAAAAAAAGAAAAAAAAAAATCCCTTTTTCCCCCCAAGCTGACTACAACTACCTGCTGCTTGGGAAAGCTGATTGTTCAGGATGGGGGAGAGCTCAGGCCAAGTTTCTGCACTGGCTTGACTTCAGCTCTACTCCTATAGCTGTGGGGCCTCGCCAAGGGCAGCACAGATCCTGTACATGTGGTCTGGAGCTGTGCCACAGGAACTGCTGCCTCTGACATCCCAACGGCATCAGAGCCTCTGACAACACACACATCAAACAGCTTTTCTTCTTCAAAATGAGAGAAACGCTGCTGTGTGTAACTTGGGCACTGACAAATGCTCCCGAGCAGCAGGCTGGGAGCACAGGGACGTCTCCCGGCTGGGATCCCACGTGCTCCAGCAGCAGGGCATTCCCGAACAGAGGAAGCGACTTGGCAGGGCTGCAAAGCTCTCACACAGGGTCCCCACTGCTGCCGTGCGGGGAACAATGTGCAATCAAGGCAATTATTCCTCTTTATGAGGGCATTTAGCACATTGCACGGTGCCTCCTTGGTTCCAGCCCAGCAGCAGTGGCTGCGCTGAACAAAAATCATCTTAATTGCAGCCCCTCTGTGGGCAGAAATCTGCTCTCATGTGGAGGCACGTGCTGGGGTACAGGGCCTGGGCTCGCTGCTTGAAATTGTGGAAACACACCCCAGGGCATCACAGCTGAGGTTGCCAGGACCCTTGGAGACTGCCTATTCCAATGCCACTCACGGGGCAGCTGAAGCAGAGCCTGGCCCTGTCCTCTCCACATCCCATGTCAGGTATTTGTATATACAGTGAGACATCCCAAGTCCTCTTCCTCTCCAGTAGAAGCCCTGGCACAGGCTGCCCAGAGCAGCTGTGGCTGCCCCATCCCTGAAGTGCTCAAGGCCAGGTTGGATGGGGCTTGGAGCAACCTGGGCTAGTGGAAGGTGTCCCTGGCTGTCAGATGCTCCAGTCCCTTGGTCATCTCTGAGCCTCCCTGCTGGACTCGGGAGTGCAGGACTGAACCCAGCATTCCACATGGAGCCTGGGGCATCCAGCTTGTTTAGATGTTTCCTATCCCAATTCTCCTCCACCAAGGGGGATTCTTCCTTGCTCCAGACCTCACCACTGGTCTTGGGCACGTAGGGCTGCTGAAGGTCAGCCTTACCAGTAAATAGCATGTAGGTGGCACTGAGCACCCTGACCTTCTCCATGTCCTTCGTCACCAGGGTCTCTGCCCATTTCCAGCAGATCCATGCTCTCCCCCTGTACTGAACACAACCTAGAAACTCTTCTCATTGCCCTTCATGTCCCTTAGCAGATTAAACTCCAGCTGAGGCTTTCCTGACACCATCCCCATGTGTCCAACTCTAGACATGTGAACAGACCCATGAAAACCCAGGAGAACCTGTTCACTGGAAAGAAGCATATACTCAAGGGTTGCTTTATTTTCCTGCATGACTTTGTTTTTTCTTTCCTTCCCCTCTCAAAAGTAGATCAGTAGCTTTACAGCAGGAGACCTGCTTGTTATAAGCACATACTTTAAAAAAAAAAAACCACAAGTGTTGGTCCCATCACCTAATTATAGACATTGAAAAGACCAGTGAGCTCTGGATAACTGAACTTCCTTGTATCAGTCCAGCAAGGTATAAATACTTTTTTTGGGATTAACTTCAAGGCCAAAGAAAACAGTTGGTCATGTGACCCATTTAAAAAGGCACAGGATTAGGGAGAGAAATGGGACCTGAGCACACCTGCCCAGGCGCCAGGCGGTACCTGCAGATCCCGGTTGTGGTTTTCACAGAGCAGCTGCAGGAACCGCAGGATGGGCTGCATGATGGAGATGACAGCACTCATCTCCAGGTCATCCTTGCTCTTGTCTGCTGCAGCCTGTGCCCCCTCCCCAGCTGAGTAGTGCTCCTCGGGGTCGGCCTCCCTGCGGTACGTGTTGTACGCCTTGCGCGTGGCCGCAGACGCCTCCAGCAGCTGATCCCGGACCTCCTCCGTGATCTGGGTCATGGGCTCCCTCACTACAACACACAAGAGCAGACCTTCCTCATGGAAACTGAATCAAGGGGACCACAGCATCTCTGCACACTTCACAGGCAGGCCAGCACTTCACCAGCAGCTCTTTGGTGAGTACGTTTAGCGTGCTGTGAGGGTCTCGTGTCACACTCTGCACTTCGTATGCCAACCACAGTAACGTTATAAACTGGGTATTAATTGGTTAGGGCACACACAGTCTAGCTCTACTAGGAGTTACAATAAGAGGACCTGCTTTAGAAGAAAATTAGGATTTCTCCAGGTATTGTCAGAGAAGGCACTGGCCACAACCCACAGTCGTTACTACGGATCAGATTTGAGCAGCTTGTCACAAGAGACAAGGCAGCAGAGTCTCATCTCAAATATTTTCATCATTTCAATAGCACAACCTCCCAAATGGATGAAGAGGGGATGAAGCTCTTGAAATCCCAAGCCAGGGCACCACTGATCTCTGAACTTTGCTCTGTGGGATCAGAGATCAGAGCATTATTGCATCAGCTGAAATGAGTTCAAAACACACTTTACTCCCTTGTCGCTTCAGAAAGGGAACGACTGGGGATTACCTCTTTTCCTGTTGGGTACATCTCTGTCTGAGTCTTCATCTTTCTTTTTGTTTCCTAAGTCACTGGTGTTGACTGTGACAGTTGCCTTGATTTCTTGCTGTGCCACTTTCATGCGATCATAAAAAACCTTAAAGAACTTCTCGGATTTCTTGTCTTCTGTCAGTCGGCAGAAGAAGGAATGCTACGAGAGAAAATGAACAGGATCTGCAGCTGAATCCAGATTATCCCACCTTTTGGCACTGACTGGAGGAACTGGAGGAACTGGAGGTTAATTAGTTGTCAGTAAACTGAAACCCAGAGCAATGGAAATTCATACTTTATTGTCAAGGAAGCCCCAGTGTCTCAGCTTTGTTAACTCCCTTATTAACAACTTCAAATACATTATTAAAGAGAAGTGAGGGCAATAAATCACACCACCCCTGACAGATTTGGGCAGCACACCTCTCTCAACAAGGGAATTAAGGTAAGTACCATGAATGAAGGTAAGGAAGGTGGAATTTCCTATAATTTGATTCTAAGTTCAGAAGCAAAAGGGTATGAGCAAAATACAGAGGAAAAAGAACTGTCCTGCCTTCCCACCCTCGAATCCAAGGGACTGTGAGTCATAACACGCCACAGCCAATGTTAATCACAGTCCAAAAATGTACAAACAGGGCGATGGCGTGAGGGACATCTCGTGCTGAGCTTCCACTGCCCTGCCTGCAGCAGACTTCTTAAAACTCCTTTTAATTCCCACTCTAATATATCATAAGTGACAGAAAAACTCCAAGCACTGACTACTTTTAAGAAGGTTTATTACTCTTCTCCTTCCCATATGTGCATGGAGACAGAAAGTTCTTCCTAAAATCGAGGGGAATACAAATCATGTACAGGTCAAGCAGGAGCCAACACAGTGAGTGATCAGACAACTCTTGATGAAACCAATATGGTGTTACATAAATCAGGACCAGAGTTTAAACACGACTGAAGGATGAACTTGTAAGTGGGTCACCTTATGCAGAGCATTATGAAATTAGTTAGCATTCTGCAGCGGCTCGCCATCCAACAGCTTTACACGATGAATAGGAATGAAGCCTGATTTATTGAGAAAACAAATTAAAATGGGAATGGCAGTATCTCCTGCCCGCTCTGCTCAGAGCAGAGCACACGAGGCCGGGGCTGCCTTTGATCACTCCCCAGCAGCTGCACGGGAACACACCGAGTGACTTTGAATGCTCCGAGCTGTGTCTTTGATTACAGGCAGAGGAGGAGCGGGGCTATTTAAAGAACTTGGTCAATACTCACAACACCCCTCCCACCACTGTGACACCTTCCCCCTGCCCACAACAGCTCAGGTGAACTCCTGGTTTTTCTCACTTCTAGGGATTACCAGAGGAGGAAAAGGCGCAGAACCCAGCACAGGCCTCCCACATCCACTAAAACCAGTCACACCAGTACCCCCCTCCTGACACCCACTCAAAGAGCCCAGTAAAACAGAGCTCCCAGAGACCTGCAGGACTTGCCCTTTGCCCAAACAGTGCTGGGCCTGTGACATGCCAGAAGATGATCTGGGTGCCCGATCCATTTAATAGCATTTGTACAACTAATTCTCTAATCCAAGACTTCATATCAAAAATTTTAATGTTTTCTCATCATGTTTGCTCATGGTTTTAAACTAAAAAAAAAGGTCAAACTAGATTAGATATACCAAAGGAATTCTTCCCTGTGAGGGTGGGGAGGCCCTGGCACAGGTTGCCCAGAGAAGCTGTGGCTGCCCCATCCCTGGGAGTGTCCAAGGCCAGGTTGGACAGGGCTTGGAGCAACCTGGGCTTGTGGAAGGTGTCCCTGGTGGAACTGGATGAACTTTAAGATCCCTTCCAACCCAAACCAATCTTGGATTCTATGATCCTATAAAATACACCCAAATAAAAAAAACATCCTTCGTCTGAATAAGTTCACTTATCCATATTTTTTATTTTTCATTCTAAACTGGTTTTTAGACCTGACCAGACCCAATGGACAGAAGATTGTCAAACTACAATCAGAACCAAGAGATGCATTAACTGGTTTCCCTGTGCTGCTGACCAGTAACCAAACCCTCAGATAACTGGGCTGTTTAGGCAGCCAAGCCTAAACTAAGTCTGTTACTTGGTGGCTACAAGGACAGACAGAGGAAGACTTTGTATCTAAGGTGCATCTTAGAAATTTTACTCTACCAGTTTTAAACATAATACTGCCTCTTTACAGATAGACCAGCATAGACCATGGGCTCTGGAAAGGGCAATCACTTTCTAAAACATCCTGTTATTTGCTCATCAGGCAGTGCTGGGGGTCACCTGCTCTCACCTGGCTGCACATCCTCACAGTCCAGACAGGAGGAGTTACCCTGTCATGAAGTTGTGGTGAAGGAAAAGCTTTTTTAATGAACCACACTAAGGAAATACCTTGTATGAGAGTAATTATTGCTGACAGACTCGATTTTTGTCGTCCTTTCAAGCTTCTTAACTGACTTTCCACTGCGCTTCAGAGAAAAAAAGTCCAACTGAAAGGAGCATTTCCAGTAAAGCTTTTAGTGCGTGCTGTGCATACACCCAGGGGGTGTCACAAAATGATTGTTTCAGTTTAGGTCAGGATGCCTAACACCTTCACACATATGAATCAACCACATGCCAGCTATCAAAGATACTGTATTTTAAGAGGTGTGATCTCACAAGTTGCGCTTGAGCAGGTAATGGGTGGTGATAATTATGACAGAAATCCTAAAATTTTATTTACAGATATAGCCTCACAGCAAAAAGTGGAAAAGTCTCCCTTTTTAAAATGGAAATGGAGTGGCCATTTTAGAGCACCGTCTGCTGGGGTCCTGCTTGCACACAGACACCCTGCAACCACAGCAAGGCTGCTGAAAGAGCAAGTGTGGAGGAACAGCCAACCTCCACACTCATATGGGTGTTTGAAGAACAGAGCTTCCAACGTGCCCCCGACATCAGCCATCCCTGAGCAGTCAGTCACCACCAGGCTGGGGCTTGGGATCTCCTGAAAACCTACTGCAGGGCAGGGAATTGTGATCCCTAACATCCGCATGGGGCCGTCTCTGGCTGGCCCAGTACGAGGCACCAGAGGAGAAGCTGCCTGAAAGGTAAGTGGAGATAAAAGCTCCATCCCATACCTCAGACACTGGCAGCAATAGCTGGAGACAGATTTGTGACAAGGGCCTGGGGTGACAGGACAAGGGGGGATGGCTTCCTACTGACAGAGGGGAGGGACAGATGGGGTATTGAGAAGGAATTCTTCCCTGTGAGGGTGGGGAGGCCCTGGCACAGGTTGCCCAGAGAAGCTGTGGCTGCCCCTGGATCCCTGGAAGTGTCCAAGGCCAGGCTGGATGGGGTTTGGAGCAACCTGGGCTAGTGGAAGGTGTCCCTGCCTATGGCAGGTGGGTAGAAATAGGTCCCTTCCAACCCAAACCAATCTGGGATTCCTGGAGTGCTAAAATCATGTAATATGAAACCACTGCAACCCTGTTTTGTTAATGACTGTCACAAGTCACCTCCACTGAACAAGTGCCATGACACAGCAGCCCATGAGGTTTTCCCCAGGAACTCCAGGTTCAGCAAACAGCTTTACAAGTCCACACACCTCAACAAAACACAACAGATCTCCAGAGCACATCGACCAGCCGAGAGAATACACCACAACTGCTCAGAGGTGACAATATCTGAGATAATGTGATGGTCACTAATCACACAACCACCAAACTAAACTGAAAACCACCTGCACGTGACACGCACAAGGGTCTAACAGGACAGCTACGCTCACCATGGGCAAGGACATCACCACAGAGCTCTCCATCACCTTCAAAGATGGAGCAACCACCACCTGCACAAACTCACTCATTGTTTCAAGGGAATGGAAGGAGAAGAACCAGCACAGCATCATGTCTGCAAAGTCAGTCACACCATTCCTCCTCCTGACATCCAAAGTGATCTAAAACAAACTGAAGGCCAAGTTTAAATTGCAGCACACTGACCAGCCACAGCCTGGCCCACCCTGGAGCACCAGCAGCCCCTCACTCTCCCTCATCAACTCAGCCAAAGCTGTGTTTAAGTCACGTGTTTTTTTGAGAAAAGCATCTGGTCTTTCTTTAGAAGGCAAAGATGATGAACTATGTTTGACTATAGGCTATTCCAGTGGTAAATAACTATTAGAAACATGTGATTAAGCTCCTTTTTATGTCACTAACTTCCAGTCATTGGTATTTTTTTGTGTCTCTTCTGTAGTTATTCCCAGGAATTTGGTCTCCAATCCCCTTCTAACTATTTACATACTCTGTGAAATGTTTACCTAATGTTTCTTGCTAAACTGAAAACACTATTTTTGCTTGCTGGCTTTTCATTTCAGCTTTAATATCATTTTCTGTGGTGGTTATTTTTTGGCATGTTCTTAAATATTGCAGATCATTAACAAGCTGGATTGCAGAAGCACATTTAAAAAAAAATAAATCACCAAAGAACTGGCACGTTTCCTAGCATTAGCATTTCATTCCAAGACCTTTGACATATGTAATACACATAATTTCCAGTGATGAGTGAAAGAGAAGCTCAGCTCACTCCCCAGCGGTTCAGGGGAGGGGGATTACAGAGGCAGGATAACCAAGGGCAGGGACAAATGCTCCTTAGTGTGATTCCTGTACCAGCAATCGGTAAAAAAAATGGATTTTAACCAGCAGAACTGGCATCTGTCCTTAGGAGAACAAAGCCATAAACCCCAGCAGCCCGGTACCTTTGTGTAAGGTGCACAGAGTAGAGACTCAGGTGACCAATTCACTATAAATATAACTAATCCACAATAAATTCAATGATGAGTGAGTTTGTGCCCAGTGTGGGATTATTAAATGGGAAAAAAACCAGGAACCAGCTGAAGGCAGTTTATTTCCAGCTCTTGCCTTTGAAAGCCTGGCCCAGTTTGGCCTGTGTGCTGTGTCACCTTTACTGGGAACACCTTTCCCTGTGCTTTAACCTGGGTCTGCCCCGACGTCACTACTGCTTTGCCGGCCAAGAAAAGGAACAACTGTTGGATTACTTTGTAGGAATGGCTTGACTTTCCACCCCAGACACTAATTCCAGGCTGGCCTGTCGGAAGGATCATGTGAGAAACAGAACCCAAACCTATCAGCAAGCACTGGGTTTAAGCAGCAGCATCTGCTCAGCTGTGTTTCCTCCCAAGAAGGGGTGGCCTGACTCGAGGCGAGCCCTTGGCTGCTGATCCCACACGGAGAACGCGGAGCACGGAGCGCTTTTGGGACCACGCCCTCTCAAAGCTGTTTCACCACAGCACTAAGCCCTGCCAGACCCTCCTACAGATCCCGAAGAATTCCCCAGGAGAACAAATATTTGATTACCAAGGAATAAGGAAAAGCAAAGCCCCAGCGAACACCTCGCCAATTAAAGCAGACTGTTGTCATGTCCTTCCCCATCTCCCTAGTGCCAGGGAACAGAAAATACCCCGTGAACTTGGCGAGCCAAGGAGATTTCAGAGAGGAAAGTCCCTCCAGAGAGAGGAGAAAGATCAGTGATCTGGCTTCAACTCAGAACATTTTATTCCAACATTAGAGAGGAATTCTTACAGGGACCTCAGCTCGCTCGGGTTATCCAGCCAGGCTGCTAGCACCAATGCAAAACTTGTGTGCTACTTCATCTCTGCAGGAAGAGTTTGCCACCCCCAGACTAGTTCTTAGAGCTGGACTACTTCAAAAAAGCCACATTTTAAGGGGAACTGCACTAACACAAGCACTGAATTAAGCACAAATGCCAACCCTCTACATTCTGCCTAAATATATTGCGAGGGCTTCCACTGCAGAAAATTCCAACCTAACTTGCTTTCTCTCCCTCCTCATTTATTTGTTTAAAATATCACTAATCCCTCTCTCTTGAAATCTCTCGTACCTCCTGGTTCGCTGAAGATCCATCACTTTGGGTGTGAGTGATGGATATCATTAGTCTTGCATAGCTTAAGGAAATTGCAGCTGAAATACTTCACGCTGAACATACTTCACAGTTTGAAATAAATCCATAAGGAAAATCTGCCAGAACACCTCAATTGCCTGCGTTTTTTTGCAAACTGTAAAATAAACTTCGTCCTGAAAGCAGAAGGAGGACTTCCCAGCTCTGTTTTCCACAAAGAAGACAAAACTCTCTCTGCCATGGGCATCCACACACCATCCCGCATGGCTCTGGAGGTTCTGGTCCACCTTATGGGGTGTGTTTTTTGGTGGGTATGAGTGTACAAAACCTGAGCTGTGGAAAGGTTCATCTGTCCCCACCAGCTGTAAATGAAGCAGCAGCAGAACTACAGCAGGAAGAGCCTTTATATCCTCTATGTTCTCCTACTGCAACACCCAGACTCTTGATGCAATTTGAAGTCATTTCACAGAGGAAAGCAAGAACAAGCCTCCAGAGATACAGTTCCCTCATGCCCTTCCAGAGCCAGTACAACCCCCAGGAGCACAAGGTGACACGGGATGATCCCCAGGATGTGAAGGCACACTGGGGAACCACAGGTACCAGTGTGACTGTGGGTTTGGGGTTTGTGCTCACAGATGGCCTCGGAGCGTGGGAGCCTCGGGGCCTGCCCTGCTGTCAGCAGGGAGCCTGATTTGGGTTCCTCTGCCCCCAGTGGGAACAGCTCCGCCGGGTCACTCGGCTCATCCGCGGGGCAGGAGTGCGGATCCCACTTCCCCACCGAGCAGGAGAGTGCTGTGTAGGTGTGAGAAACAGGGAAGTCTGCAGACTCCCCAAAAGAAAAAAAAAAGTGTAAGATCTTGTTGAGAGACAGAGGAATTAAAGAAAACCATAGCAACAAGTCAGTCCACCTACCCAAACCACCCACCCACCACCAGTTTCATTTGCTGACGCACTTCAAAAACAAGCTGGCTCCAACCCGCTCTGGAAGGTGAGCAAGCCCTGAGAGCTCATTAAATTCCCTTCTCAGCTACTCTTGTGTGCCTGCAGCTAGTGAGCAAGTGGGATATAAATAGAAGTTATATAACAGTGCTTTGTTGATTCCTGTGCTTACCAAAAAAAAAAAAAGGGGCATGACCTTTTTTTTTTGAAAAGCTTTGCCTCTGCCTGCTCAGGGAGGACTTTAATCCTGCTAGGGATCATCTTAAAAGTTTAGGTTGGACCTGGATACAACAGAGAGGAATAGGGAAAATTAGTGATTTGTGTCCCTGCTCCTTGCAGGACCAGGATCATGGTGGAATGATGAGAGGATTGACACACAGGAGGTGGTACCAACAACCAAGAACAACACAAGTGCACCAAGACTGGAGAGCAAGACACAGCTGAACCCTGAGGTAGCACCTCTCCTTTTTTTCACCTACACTGCTCAGTCACACAGATGGGCACCTCAAAATCCAAGCATAAAACCTTCCTGTGGGCAAAAAGACTGGAAGATGCTCTGCTACAGGAATCCTGATGGCCCAAATATACTTCAGAAAGCAGCACCAGCTGTAGCTCAAGTGGAAAGTCCAGGTGGTACTGTTATCATCTCACCTCTTCCCCCCAGTACTCAATCTCACCTTTGTATCTCCCTGCCCTCACTGACAATGAAATCACCTCTGCAGGAAGGACTCCTCACACTGCATTATTAGTGGGCCTTGTTTGTTTTGAACCTGGTAGTATCTAACACCTGTGGGAGATTGAGACTTCCCTGTGCTAACTGTATTAAAATATATGTGAAGGAGATGGAGCTCCCACTGGCTTGGCATCCTGAGTCTGCTCCTGTGGAGCAGCAGAGCATCAGGACAGAGGTTTCCTCGGCACTGACTCATGGCTAGTGCAGGTCCTGTGCCTTGTTTGGAAGACAACTGCAGTGTCAAGCACGTCAGGATTTGCAGAAGGTTTCATTACAGAGAGGGCTCTTTCAGCAAAGGACACAGCTGATCTTTATGATGCAGGTCCTTACCAACTCTGGCTTTTTATGTCATGTTCTGAAGTAACATTCTCAGAATGTCAAAATAATTATGATGTACTTTAACTTGAGCAAAACTCATTTAAATGGTGAAAGACACAGGTGATTGCTTAACACGTGCTAAAAGCTTCCTGGTTGGGCAGTAGTTTCCTAAACAGGTATCGTTAAAACAATATAAAAAAGATGTAACGTCAACTGGATAAACAGAAAAGTTAAAAGACTTGTTTTATCAATGACCAAAAGTTCTCAAGTGCTATTTACAAAAGTTTAGTGACCCAAAGATAATCTTGCCTCCGAAGCCTTTACCATCACACACAATTGTCTGTGCTCACCAATATCTGTCACTGCTGCAAATCTTCCAAGTAATAAATGTGATTTAAAAGGTCCAAGCCACAAAGGCTAAAGCACCATCGTGTCACCAAACCTACATTTCATCCCCCTAATACTTCTGTGACATTTTGCAAAGCTTTACCCCCATTTTGCAGGGCAATTGCAGCCACAGAGAAAAAGAAACAAAGTGTCTGGGCAACCAAATAGGACATTTTTGTGCTGGTATTTCACAGCCAACACAACAGTGAGCTCAAGGACACAAACTGGTCTCAAAATCTTTGCTCCCTCCAACCTGGGGGCTGTAGCTGACCTGTACCACTGGCTGGTACCTCCTCAGCTCACTGGGCTTCCGTGGGGTTCTTAAGTGCCAGAAACACAGACAAGGACCAGACAGCTCTGGATTCAATTCCTTTTGTGCAGCAATCCTGTAGTTATTTAATAACTATCCACCATCTCTGGACAGCCTGAGGAACAGAAAAGGAGACCACAGTTCACCATGGTGGCATTTCCTCACTGGTGGCAACGTACAAAGAGAAATGTTGACTGAGTCCAAGTCCGTGTATGGCACAGGAGAGCTGTGTTAGTCCAGTGCAGCCTCTCCTCCCAAACCTGACTGATGAAGAGGTGGCTGCTGGGGTTTCTGTACCTTGCTTCTTCCAAGCCCCTCGTGGTACCCGTTTGATGGGCAGCACAGCCCCCAGCCCTGTCAGGCACACAAAACACTCAGTTCCTCGGAGCAGGCTGAACCAAAGAGCTCTGGAAGTTCAAGCAACCCGAAGCCACAAAGTTTTTTGCACAGTCACATCTCAAAAGGAGCCTCACACACTGATGAGCTCCAAGCCACGATTCCACACTACACAGGTTCACTGTTGCCATGCTGTGAGAGACACAACTCTGCAGTCCACCACCAGCTCCTCGGTGCTATCTCCAGTCAGGGTGGCCCCTGGTCCTCACCCCACACTCAGCTGCTGCAGGACAGAGAGTGCTGTGTGCACTCTCCTCTGTGCAGAAGCTGTGACTTGCTTCAGCAGCAAAAGCCACTTCTTCCCTGAAAAATAATCACCTTTTCCCTTGGGTGCTGAGTCCCATCACCTCATCCCCTGTGTCTGCAGCCCACCTTGGGAAGAACCGTGGATAAGGGGAATGAAGGCACCACTGCCCTCGAAGTGGCAGACGTGCCTCACGCCACTTTGGGGCAGTGCTTAAAAAATGCCTGCAACAAAACTAATGTCACCAACCTCATTTTACCTTCCCCGGCTGAAAATATCAACATGTGCGTGTGGGAAATTTGTCACGCAAGCTGACTTTGGAGAAGATCCCTAATTAAAGGAGCAGGGTCTCCATGGAGAGGTGTTACGTAAGGGACTCCACTTGCCATTACCTTCCACCGACCAAGGAAACCCGAAACCCCGCGGAGGTGAGGCAGAGTAACGGCACATGGAATTTTTATTTAGCAGATGAGAGACGAGTGTTACAGGACAAGTCCTCAGCAATCTCCTCCGCTGTCAGTCATTTGCCAAGGTTGCTTTAGCAGAGCAGAGCTCTCTGTGCTGCTGCGTGTGCAGGGAATGGACCGAGTTTTACCCCTTCCCGAGGAGACGCAGTTCCACAAGCAAGGCACCTGCCATGCCAGCTCGGGCACAGGGAACCCAAACCAGCACCCCAGGGACAGGTGCCTCCCCGGATGCAGGGCATGCTCCCCCCTCGGAGGAGAGCGTGGGGCATCCTCCCAGGGCTGCTCTGTGCAGAACCGCTGACTGCAGCGCTCCCGAGGTGGATGCTGAGGGTTATATAAATTAATAAAGGGGTTGATGTAATTTGCAGTTCAGTGAGCTGCACTGTTTGTCAGGTTAATTTGTTGGCCGGCGCTGACCCCGAGGTTCCACCTCTGCCTCTGTGTCCGTATAAATGAGGGCAGGCTTCCCACCGAGATCCAGGGCTCCCGCTGAGCCACAAGCTCACGGGACACAGCCACGACAATGCCACCAGCAGCCCTGCTACCAAAGAACCTGACAGGGTTTTTAAGTGAATTTCAAAAACTAAAACCCAGAAAGTTTCCATCCAGAGAGGCCTAAGTGGGCAAAGACCTTCCCAGAACAGCTCGTTTGCCACATTCACCCCTCTAGCAGAACACAGAGTGGCGTGGGATTCACTGTGCCACGTACCAGCTCAGCCTCCTTCCTAAGGGAAACCAGGAGTATTTTTTTCTTGTCCTGCTTCTCCCCCACATTAATCTCCTTAACAATACAATAAAAATCCCTCCTGCCAATTAGAATAAGGAACATCTCTAGATTTGCTTTTTTGCAAGAGTTGGCAACCACCTACTTTGCCTACCCTTAATATTGGCCCTGCCTCTACCTAATGAAACAGCAACACCTATTCCAGTTATCCCTTCCCAGCATCATGGGGATCTGTTCTCCCACTGAAGCTCATGGGAGTTACCCGGGAACTCCCATTATTAACCATATTACAATCATCATGTGCAAGTTCCTGTGTGTTGGTACAAACCTTCTGCTTCACTTCAGGCCGAATTAATTTCCCGTGTGAAAACCTGGAGTTAAGAAAATGCCATGCAGGGGTGACACATTTCTGGCCTTGCTGCCAAAAAGCCTTTTTTACATAACCTGTCCCTATCCCACCAGCTTCCTATTTTCAAAGGCCTGTAGATAGAAGTAATTGAAGTTCATTAAAAATTATTCAAACTGAGCACAGAATGAACTTGTTCAGAATACTACAAATCAAAAGCCGCTAATAATAGGGAAAAAAAAAACCCATGAAATGAAGATAAACTGTGTTAGACCTCAAAGACAAAGCTAGTTGGTTTGGCTAGGTCAACTTGCACAATGACAAATGGACGTGATGCAAAACGAACACAGTTATTAGTCCAAAGACTGAAGATGACTCTTCCACTGGCAGTTACTGGAAACTGCCGAAAAACTTCAGCAAATCTACTCTGCAGGTTGCAGAGTCTGCCAAGTCCTACCTACCTACTCTGCAGAACTTACCAAAAGAACACAGATTAGAGAAAGATCAGGATAAAAAGACACAAAGCATTGGGTTCATTTTTGTAAATGCATCTAGTTTCCATAAGCAGGCAAATGTTGCAGTGTATTTTGTAAAAATGAAATCCTACTAAGTGGGAGACCATCCCTTTGCTGCCCTCAGTAGATCTCGACTGTGCTGTAGCCAAAGGCTGCTGTCTAAAAATCATCAGCTTTGCAGACTAGCAAGTACCCACAGAGCTCTCCTGAGAGCTGGGCTGCACCAGAGCCCTCTGCACTCAGAGCACATCAGCCACTCTTCCTACGTGGAGACAGCAAAGCTGGATCACCTGAGTTCACCGGCTCAGGATACACCAGTCTGACTTGGCCATCACATCATTCAGCAATTACTTGGGAGATACAGACCCAAACTGATGATTTTACTAAAGAGCAAGCCTCCACCTTTTCTTTGATTCCCAGCTGTTCTCCCAGAAGTCAAGCTTTGTGGTTGGTGTTTTTCCCATTGAAGTTCTACTCACTTGGCTCTCATGGCTAAAACCCTACTGAGAGATCAGAGTGCTGAGTACAGGCTGTTCCCAGCTGCCACTGCCATCATCCCCACAGGCCCTGACTGTGCTGAAGCCACTGCGAGGCACCAGAAAACACTCTCCCCACCACCAACAGTTTAACCAACGCAGAGGGAAGCCAGGGAAACATGTCTGAGCACCAATAAACCCTCTTTTTTGCCTTTTGCTGTCAAGCCCATGGAGCGTTCCAGCACAGAATATCTGCATCCCAACCGCTCCACAGGATATTTTCAATAACATCTCATGTGTGCTTTGCATGCATGAGTAAGAGCTCCTGGGTGTGTCCGAGCCCTCAGAGCTCCCAGCATTAGCTGTAGGCACCACGAGTCATTTGGTTCCTAAAACATTTTGTACTTAAAAGCAGCCCACACTACACCAGAGCCCCCTCCCAGCCTGTCCTGCCACGCTGGAGCACGTACACACACCGAGTGAGTGCTGGCAGCCCAGAGCACGTCCTAAAGACACCTGCCAAGCATTTATTCCTGAGTGGAAAAGCACGGAAAATAGTTCCTCTGGTTTGTGGAAGCACCACGTATGTATACAGGCTGGAGAGCAGCAGAACCTGGCAGGAGTGTGTGGTGTGGAGGCGTCACACGCTGCTCCGAGCATCCCATGCCAACGGCTCCTTGCTGACCACAGGGTTACTGTACAGCCTCCCAGCTACGGACAGCAAATGCAAACCAAACCATCTCCCTTTCTGGTGGAAAAGGTGCCTTTGGAGGCAGACTGCAGGTTTCCCTGTTTGTTCTGACCAGGTGAACTATGGAACCTGCTCCCAACATGGGTTCATGCTCAGTGGGAGGTGACTTTGCTCAGTCCATCCGTGCTGGGGTCCAGCACAAGCAAAGGATCCACCACGTCAGGCTGGTGCAGTTTGTTTTTCCTTCCAGCATGACAGTGTGAGGTTACCTGAGGCTCCCTGAGAGCTGGGAATATGAAAGCTCAGCTTCCTTTACATTAGAGAAGAGCAGGAAATTTAAAGGAGTGACTGTCCCCAAGGAATATTAATCCTGTCCTTGTAGTTTAAGGTGATGTAGGATTTTCAACACTGAATCCCCACTTTGTCTTTTACAAAGAAGCTTCACTTCAGAGCATAGACACAGGGGGAAAAAAGGGTGTACTGATTACAGGGACAAGCAAAGGAGCCCAAAGACATTCCCTGTCCTCTCAAGGGAAGTTTGCATTGACATAAGAGGTGCTGCTGTAGGGATCTAGTGTATGTTTTAAGCTCAGTGGTCAATTATAACCAGTCAGGATTCAGCCCCACAGATAGTCTGCAAACACAGCACACACAGAGCCAAAAGAGTAAGGTATCACATGTACAATCATCTTTACAAGTATGCTTTTCTGCAATGAGGTTTTACTTTCTCTTTGGAAGAATAATGTACAAGCTTGTTGATGTGTATTCATTACAATCCACACCAGGCACAATTTTCATTTAGAGAAATCAAATCCTTGTTGAGAACACAGAAATGAAGATCAGCAAGACTGCAGGAGAACAGCAGTGGTCTGGAGTTTACCATACACTTATTTCAAATTCCAGTCTGAAATCTAACACCTCCTTGTAAAAGTCTGAGCACATTGCAGTTGCTTAACTTATTTGTAAGAGCAGTCAATAACTTACCTACAAAGCTGTTTCATTAGACATTCCTCTATACTGCCCTGGGAAACACCTCAGTTACCCAATGCCCATGTAAGCATTTAATAAGTTCACTTTTGCATGGTAGACACTAATATTTCCCAAAATTACAGGTCAAAGATCCTTTAGTCATTTCCCCTCCCATCTCCTTAAACTCCTCAAGTTTCCTGGATTCCATAAAAACACTTCCCTTCCCAACACAGTTTGGTCACAAGAAGTTTTCCATTTCCCTACCTGTATCGTGGTGTTCCCACCTTCCAGCAGGGCAATGGCTAACAGGATGCTCTCATGGAAGACTCTGTCGCTGGTGGCATTCATGATGAGATCTATGACCAGGTTGGATGCACCTTCTTTATCCAGATGACACTGGACATCTGCCAAACTCATCTCCCCTCGGCTCATTGAACTTGATCCGGAGCTTCCTCCTATAAAGGTGATCATGAGAAACAGGCTGAGATTGACCCCACGCTGATGGCACCTCTCTTCAAGGCCAGGCTGGACAGGGCTTGGAGCAACCTGGTCTAGTGGAAGGTGTCCCTGCCATGGCAGGGGGTTGGAATGAGATGGGTTTTAAGGTCCCTTCCAACCCAGACCAGTCTGGGATTCCATGACTATTGATTTTTTTGGCAGTGGTCTCAAATTAAATAAACTGCACTTTATAACTGACTTCAAACGGAATTTTCCCTCATCCCACCCCCCATTCTCTCTGGAATACCATGAAATGGTTTTGTTACAGATACGGTTAATAATCTGACATCCTTATAAGCACATTCCTCATATATTAATTAAATTGATCGGGATTTCTAAGTACATTTACTCAAAGCAACATCACAAACTTTAAGCGAACCCAAGGCAGTCTCTGGAAAGCATGAAAAGCTCTGCCTGCTTCATTTTGCTGGCTCAAAGGCAGTCATCCATGTGGACGACTTCCTCGGTTTTGGGAGTTCATAGAGGAGGACAGTGAGGGGGGGAAAAAAATCCCTGTTTCACGTGTAAGGTGCCGATTTGTGGGGCAGACACAGCCACAGACCACGGGGCAGGGCAGAGCACAGGCCCCACAAGGAGCAGGAGCAGGTCCTACCTCCTGCCCCGGCCTTGCTGGTGCCGCCGGTGGACAAGGGCCCGTTGCCGAAGGTGGTCAGGCTCTCCCGCCGTCCCGCAGGCCGCACGTTGCCATAGTAACGGTTGACCAACACTTGCCTGAGAGCCTCACCCTTGATTAAAGAGGAGAATGAAATCATGATGTGAGTTTCAGGAACAAACAAACCACTGCTGTTATTGTTTGCCTTCTTGTGGTGAGGGGGGGGAACCGAAACCCTGGAGATTCAGAAAAATCCACCGAGTAACTCCCGCTGTGCTCGGGCAGGCTGGGACACCGGGGGGTCTCATGGGGCTCAAGTAAGATTATGGGTTCCCAGCACAGGAACAGCTGCAGGTCAGGTTTTGTGTAGAGCTCTCTAGACAGATTTTGTTCTCAAAGAGGTTGTTTTGGTTTTTTTAAATTAAGTTCTACTGTCTTGGTCTTAGATGTAAAAAAGTTGCATCTGTACAGCACCAACACAAAATTAAGAGGCGGATTAGTGCAAGAGGAACATTAGAAATGATGCTGTGAGGAGCAATCCCATCTTCCCACACCTATCCCATTTTGCCATTTCACCAGCTTTACAGGGATGTGCTCCTTTCTCCCTCCATCAGCAGCTGCCGAGCGGAAACCCGAGCGATCCCGCTGAATCCCAGCCCTTTGTTCCCTGCTGGCAGCTGCCCCGGCCGCCGCTCACGCCAGCAGTCAGCATCCAAGCACATGAGCTCTGGACTCCACAGGGCACCAGTCCTCAGATAACCCCAAATCCCGGGAGTGCCCGGAACGTCCCCCCAGCATGAGCCGCTGCGTCAGCCCAGAGCAAACCACCTCCCAGGGCAAACAACCCACGGGGCCCTGCACTGCTCCCACTCCAGTCCTTACAGGAATTCCCAGGAATTCGGGGAACTGGACAAATCAATGAGCAGCACACAAACACCACACTGGGATTAACGGGTTTTTATAAGGCCTTTGTGCACAAAGGAAAACTGGGGATTATTGCAACCGGCAGCTACTGCTGATGGCAGTACCACCCTGGACAGTGCTTGAAAGGGGAGGGAGGGGCTCTTCTGGGGATTCAATACATAAATAATAATTTAAAAAAAAAATCTAGCCAAGAATAATTTCATATTAAAAATATGTCAGGAAGAACTAAAGTATCTTATCTTTATCTCCACTTGCAAAACACACGCTCGTCACTGATTTTCAACTGTATTTCAAATGAAATTAGTTGTCTGACTATAGAGCCAAGATGTCATTTAATATATTAGCTGACATAAAAATGAAGTCTTACTTTTTAAACTTTCACAAGAGGCCTTTAAAACACAAATAAGTAAATGGAGCAACATAAATGTGCATTAATGGGCTCACACAGAACTCCAGCACTGCTGCAGTCACACTGCTTTGATGCAAAACTGGCACTCACAAAGGTAACTTCAAGAAATCCTTAAACTCCCCCCCCCCCCAAAAAAAAAAAAAAAGACAAAAACCTGTCTGGAAATAAGTTCTTTACCAAATTTCAGGAATTGCTTCCAAAGGGAGAAGCCAGACACGCGCCTGGAGCTGGTGAGGGATCACTGCCCTCCCTGCAGGGCTGGGGCTCAAACTGGGGCTCCCACCACCTGCTCCTTGTCACCACAATTCAGCACCTTAAAAATTGTTCCTATGGATTATTAGCTTGAACACTGCAGCATGGGAGCTGCATTTTATGGGATCAGATGGGGAAGGAGCAAGTGCCAGGGAGACAGGTTGTAAAATAAACACGAGGAGAGCATTCCAATCAGCTGCTTCCAAAAGTCCCAAAAAAACAGAAAAAAAGGAAAATTCCTGTGGAAGCAACAGTAGAAGGAGATGAGCACTCTTCCAAGGGGCATACGCTTCCCATCACCGCTTGGGCCAAAGAGTGAACATGTAGGAGAGGCAAGAGACAGTTCAGGAGCTCCAGCAAATTCCTACCCCGGAGGAGCGCCTGTGACTGACAGCGACATTCGAGTGTTGGGTACACGATGTAGAGCTTCATCCATCCCCCTGCTCCCAGTCTGGCAGGTAAGGAAGGCAACATGACAGAACAAGGCCAAGCCAGACAAAAAAAACCCCTGAACTACACCTTCCCTCTACACATGTCCCGATTAGAAAGGAAACTTGATACCCGCATGAGCCCTACGACAAAATGAAGTTACAAGGGAGTTCTCACACTACCTTTTCCCTCTGCTGTTGAACTAATTGTCAGTCATCATATCAACTGACATTTAAACCAGTCATTTTTACTACTTACTACAAAGATAACACACATCCATCCACAAGAACAGCTGCTCACTGAACTCCACCTCAACTCAAGCTCCTGGAGTTGTGTCCAGATTTTCCTTCTGGCCCACTGCAGAGCAGAAGGCGACTTCTATTCCATGGTCAAAATAGTTGGGGTGAGTGGAGGCACCTGACCAAGAGGACAGACCTGCAGCACCTCTGGTGTCTGCAGGAGTTGTGTATCCAAAACAAGACAAATCACCGGAAAATACAGGTAGGAACAGGTGTCAAGCAGTTGCTTCTAGTCTGAGAACGTGCTCATCCATGGGTTTGGAGGGCTGGCAATACACAGTCACCAGCATCTCAAATTCTATCTGGGAAAAAAAAGCTTTGCTTTCTACAAATTTATGCAAACCTGCCATGTTAGCTAATGAAATATCAGTATGTGATCAAAGTGGAGGGGAGAAGAAAAAAAATCAGTGGTATTTAAGAAATGTTCCAATTAATTCAGCTGCAATGCTTGGCTCCAGAACAGTTCTTTAACCATCCTGTTAGTGCTGTGCACCACTTTGATGTGGGCAATGTGCAAACAAATATCAGATGTTTGGCAATAATCAGAAAAATCAAATATGGTACCTCAAAAAAACCCAACAACATCCAGTTTCATCTGTGTTCACCATCAGGTAAACTAAGTCATATACAAACATTACTGTGCATGTATCAGTAATGCAGATGCAACACACAACTCTAAGTGATATCAGAAACCTGATTAAAACAGAGAATCTTGGATAATATTTAAAAGTGAAGCAGTTCTAAGTTGTTGTTGCTGTTCTGTTCCCAGCTACAAGAGCAGAAGAAATGCAGAAAGGCATTAATGACACTGATTTTGCAGCATGGGTTACAAAGGGGTGGTGTGGCCAAAGCAGCCAACTACACAAGCACCGATTAATGTCACTTCATAACTGAGTGATCACCACCAAAGGGGAGAGTTTTGACAGTGTGAATGGACTGGACCAGGATCTGAGGTTTAACTGGAGCTGCCAAGCACTTGTCCCTTCCATGTAACACAAGGGGCACCAGCACCCCCTTCATAAACATGGCTCATCATTTTGGGTTTTCCAAGAGCAGCTAACACACAAGTTTCTTAGGTGACTTAGGCTTCACTGTTTAAAAGGAAAAGGTTGAGGGTTAGTTCTGAACGTGCTCGACTGCTGTACATACCCTTCTATGATCCTCCAGTTGCCTCTGTGGTAGAGTTTGATCAAGCTCCTGCTGTGCGTGCAGAAATTTCATTTTAAAGCAGAACAACACTCAAGAGACACCAACATCTTGGCACTCAGGGGGAATACTAAGGGAAGTCACAGTTGAATGCAAGGGGGGAGATGAAGAAGATGGACTGACAAGCTCTCAAAACAGGACATCTGCCCTCAGTTGGCCCTGGCAGCACTTGTCCCCTCAGACACCTTATCACCCCCCCAGCCCACCACAGCATGCACGTGTGCCAACATTCCCCTGGAGTCAGAGGGAACACAGGGTCTGTCTCGTTGTACAGTCACCAGTAACACACACAAGTCCCCGGGAGCTCAGCCCACACATGCCCATGCACAGACACACAGGTACACCCCACCCCACTGGACACACACCTCTGGGGACGGGAGCAACTTCAACACATCTCCCCGTGGTCAGTGAAGCTCGTTTGAGACTGTGGAGGGCCCCTGGAAAAACCTGGGGGGTTCCCTTCCAACACCAGGGCCTTCAGGGGGTATCACTGAACAGAGTCCCTCGGCACGTGCACGTTTCCAAATCGAATCTCTCTTGCTTCAGATATTAATTTTAAGGAATGGAACTTGCAGTTTGCAAACCTGAAGCACATTAAGTTTTTGTTGCTTTAAAGCACCTGAAAATGTGTAGAACAACTGCTCTCTCCAGGGACCCACCTTAAACCAGGAGCCATCTCCAAACATCTCAAAGGCCTTCGATGACCACTCAGAGTTTTGGTTTACATTTAAACACTATTCCACAAAAATTACAAATACAAAAGTCTGAACCACCACAAACATTTTTTTCCTTCGTGATCTCAAAATATATTTACAGCCTTCATGTCTATATAGCTCACAGAATCAACACTGTCCTTGATTAAGATTTTCATGTTGTTTCACTTGGATTTGCATTGATTTGGCACTCAGTTGTACAATTTACCAATGCCATCTCTGGATGTCCCATGAATTTCCAAAGAATTTGAGATTTCATAATTTTTCAAGTCATCATTTAGAAAAATAATCTGTTTTATGCAAACTGATGCTAGGGTATCTCACAAAGGACATGTTCCCATACATCCAATTACCCCAGAGCCAGAGACCCTGAAGATGTGAAGTGACCATGAGCTGCTCCACTAGGGCATTTTAAATGGGACACCAGTTGCTCTGGGGTTATGAAGCTTCCATTAATAACTTCTGACACCTCCATTTCCTTTAAGTCTTTAAGTATGTTAGAAAAAGGGAAAACCAAATTCTGCATTAGGAGCCAGAGAAACAAGATCTCATTTTGCCAATGCAGGGAAATTTGAGAGGAGTCTTCTCACAGTGTCTCCCTTGGAGCATAAGGGAAATGGCTGAAAGGAACAAAGATTTGGGACTAATTTACATGGGGTTTTTTATATTTCCAGACTACCACACTGAGTCTGTATTGGATTAAGCCACTTGAACAAATCCATTTATTTCCTCTGCCTAACACCACGCAGCAACACACATTTCACAGGGTTTTCACCAACAAGACACTCCACTAGGACTACTTAAACACCAATATTTGTGTGCTGTACAAATATAGGTGGTGACACACCTCTACAGGGCTCTCCGTTTCGGGAGGTTGCGGCAGCTAGTTGAAAGTAAAATGCAGAAAAATTAGTCATTCTCCCAGAATCTTCCACCCCAACAGCAATCCAGTGGTCAACAGAGAGGGGAAGGGAGCTGGCAAAGCACTTGACTTCAGCTGAATCATCACAAACGAGTTATAGCCATAATTACTGTTTACACCCTCCCACCCTGCTCCTAAAAGGGTCACATCTGGAAAATTTCGCAGGTATCCTTTGAACATCCCAACCTGCTTTGCATGAACTCCAAGGCACAAGCAAAAAGCTTTAGTTGTAGGTGCCCACAGCACTTTTGGGGACCACACACCTGGGATCTGTGACTTGAAGGCAGCACATCCATCCCGGGGCAGGGGAGAAGGAAGCCAGGGCTGCATGTCACAAAGGCAGCAGCCTTATAATTTTAGTTTAAAAAAATAGTTTTCAGTGGATTCTCATCTATAAACATATTTCCTTGAGATAAAAGATATATGATGCAGAACCAAACAGGAGCAATGAAATAAGGGCCTGCATGGTGACAGCTTTTCAAATTTAAAATGCTGATCATCACACTGAAACAGATGAAGACAAGCAACTTTTATCTAGTAGAGCGTAGACACACAACAGAGACCTGAACATTCAAATGCAGCTGCCTATGGAACCGTGGGGCAACTCAGTTAACTCCTCAGAGCAGACACTCAGAAATCAGATGCTGATGATACAAACACCAAACTGAGTCAGGCCCTCCCTGGCTGTGTCTGCCCAGAGGCCACAGGACAGAGAGACAAATGTCCACGGGCTGGGAGAGCGCTGTGGAGCTTAACCCAAAACCTGCTGGGGAAATGCTCCAAGGGAGAGGGAGGCCACCAGATCCAGAGAGATTCCACTTCCCAGGAAAGAGCCAGAGGAGCAAGTGCTTCCCCTGCAGTGCTCCTTGGCCAGGAAAGACCCTTTTCCATTCTCCTCCCAACAGACTTTCCTCCTGGCAGCTCCCATGGCCTCTGGTCGGTGCTTCCTTGCATTGTCACCGCTCCTGGAACCTTCTCAAGCGTGCAAACCACTCCTCTCCTGTTCCAGTGGAAGCACGGAGTATTTAAGCCAGGGGCCCAAGAGTGAACAGGAAGAGCCTCATTTATGCAGAGGAACACACCGTTCCTGCCCTGCTCCCAGGCTGGACAGCGGGAACGCCGTCCGGGTCATTAGGGAGTCCAGGCACATTGTTCTGCCTGCACACACCGTCTGCACAACCTGCTCCAGAGCAAGGGAAAATTCCTCCCTTCTCAAGGAGCCAACAGCAGCAAGGAAATTGGGCCTGTTCCACTGCAGGGGAAATGAGGTCCCTTCCTGCCAGGGAAGGGGATGCTGAAGTTGGCAGGTCAAGTGGACACGACTGCCACAGGATAACATGCCTGGACTGGGGATCCAAACACAGGTTTCCCTTCTGGGCACTGGAACAGGTTGCCCAGAGAAGCTGTGGATTCTCCACCTCTGGAAATGTCCAAGGCCAGGTTGGATGGGGCTTGGAGCAACCTGGGCTAGTGAAAGGTGTCCCTGCCCACGGCAGCGAGGTGGAACAAGATGAGCTTTAAGGTCCCTTCCAACCCAAAGCATTCTGAGATTCCTGGGTTTACACTATGACCCCATTTTAACCAAACATGCATGTAACATTTTGGAGTTGAAAGGCAGCACAGATGAAAAATCATCATGAAATTAGTTTCATCTTTCCCAACTTAACTGGAGAAGGAAAAATTACGAATTGCAGTTCAGAAATTCCTGTGCCTTCCCTCTGTACTTCCCAGCAGGGAGGAAAAGCCACTGCCCTGGGCAATGCTCAGGTGGATCACCCCAAAGCAGCACAGCCCTCAGCAAACTTCCAGTAAGAATATAAACTCCAAACACTGAAATTTCAATTCTTTGAGTGAAAATGGCTTCAAATAGCAAAGAATTATGGACCTTGTGCTGCAAAGTATCAGCTTGTGCTTTACAAGAAGGATTGAACAGAATATCACCCTAAGCAGCCTGAGGTAGTAATTTTGCAAGATTTCTCCATGAACTTCAGCTCTCCAACCAGAAGAAAGTGATGGTCTGAAGGGCAGGGGCAGGTTTGTGCAATACTAAACAACACCAGGTGAGTACCATGGACACTGTGGTCAGCTTTTAAACTGGAACATAGTGGGTGGCCAGGTCAGAGTACAACATCTGTGCTTTTTATTAGCAGTAGGGAAAGGTCCTTTCAACTTGCTCTGCAAAATCCTCTCTTCCTTAGAAGCTTCCGCTCCCACAAGGCTGACCAATAAACCACTCATCATTAGCCAGAACAGAAGTACAGCCTCTGACCTGCTGCTGACCCAAATGCTTCCAGCACCCATTTCCCCAACACAGGCCATGTGTGCTTCTCAGAACAGCCTTAATCTGACTCACCAGGGGATGTATCCCCTCAAAAGCCACCAGAGCAAGGGACAGCTCCAGTGTGAATTCATGGCATCTCAAAGGATGAGGTGTGGACGAGCTTTCCATCCTTTTCTTTTATGGCTTTGAGGAAGGTATAAAAGTTTTCATTTGCTTTCAAAATAACAATCAAGGTTAAAGTTATCTAATCTGTCTTGCACAGAAAATTGAAACAACTACCACTGTGGATAAAGAGTGGAAATGGTTTGAGGAAAAGCAGGAAGATTTTCGTTCAGGTTTGAAGCCTCGGGATTGCTTTTCTCTCTGTTTTTTTTTTAAACTCAGTTGTGTAGTAGATAGCCAGACCACCAAGCAAAAGGCTTGAAATGCATTTAACCCTGAGCACTTTGAGAAAGCTTAGTCAAACTCAACTGATTTGGCTCTGTGATGAAGCAGTGGTGAGGAGGGAGATGCCCTGAGCTGTGCAGGAAGTCGAGTTCGATCACTGACAGGTTCCTTCTGGTCTCAAAATCTGTGAATTCAAGAAGTGACCCAACTCCATGTGTATGGCATGTCATTATTGGGGTGTTGGAGAAAGAGATTTGGCAGAGAGGAGGAAATAAAAATGACAACCATAGAGTCAGGCAAATATCACCCTAAGCTTTAGAAAGCCAGCTTGTACATCCAGATGCGAGGAACCAGAGTGGAGATCTCAGATGTATGTTATGTATGTTATTCTGAAACCTCTGCCTTGGTTCCTGCATTGCTATCTCCAGTGGGAATGGCTGTTCAGAATGAGTCCTGCAAGTCCTTTTCCACTTTTTCCTCTCTTTTCTGAATTTCTCCCCTTTTCTCTTTGAAGCACAGTCAGTACATTTCTTCCTTGAAAGACACACAGCAAAAGTATCTGATGACAACAGAGCAGAGCACAAATTATGCTGCTGTCCTCCATAACCCTTCAAAAATACCACAAATCTCTGTGTAGCTTCCTTGCCAAGTCTCCTTTGTCAGGCCAACACTGTTACCTTGTGGAACTGAGGAAAAATTTGGATAGGAAATTTCTAGCCCCTGCAGATGATCTGTAGGTGTTTGTCAAACAAGCATTTGACTTGCTACGGAGAAGTTTCAGGGCAGAGGGGAATAACTGGGAACCAGGAGCACTGAACTGCTTTGACAAACTTCCCATGTTAAATCTCCCCCTGCACAGACCTGAGCCAATGCTGCACAAATTAAGCAGCAGCAGATGTGGAACAGCACCTTGTCCTGGCACAGGTCTCTCAGAAGGCATGTGGGATTTCTGGGGGGCAGAAGCAGCCCCCCAGCTCCCTCCAGCACCCACCTGCTCCCAGTCCTGGCACACCCAGACTGGGGATGTGTCTGAACATCCTCCCCCCTTATCTCAGGGAACTTGCAGAGACTTTGGGCACTGCCAGACAATGAGGTGGGAAATTTGGCATAAGGGTTGTCAGTGCCCGCACTCAAAGGTCACTGGGATCTGCCTACAGGAATGCCTTCCCTCATTTTCCACAGTTTTCAGTGGAGAAAGCACGTTTTACTTGGGCTGGGGTGTTCCAGGAGCCAGAGACCTCAGTCTCTGCCCTTCAGTGGGAGTGCAACCACTTCCTCCTCTCTAAATCCTCAGTCTTGCAGGACTTCTACAGTCACTAAACCTTCACAACACATTTTACAGCAGCAGTTTTAATTAACCAGTAAGATGGCATAACTATTATTGGGTTTTTTGATGACAAATAACTACAAGCAATGTTCCAGTCTCCTTTTCCAAAGAGCTCACCAATTCCAGTTCGTGCAATAAAAACGGTCCAAAGACTGCAGGATTTCTCAAGGGGAAAAAAAATATAAGGCAGCCCACAAAAATTTATGAGAGCCTGCATTTCCTCTGCTCGAGACATAACAAGTGAAGCACTGTCTAAGTGCAAAATACACAAGAGAAATGACTGGAGTGAGTTCTCGACAAGGAAAATAATTCCTAAGTGCAGCTCTCCAGCTCTGAAGAGGTTAATGCATTTCCCAATTCCAATCAAAAATGCATAAAATAGCACCCATTTTGCACCTTATTCAGCCACTGGAGTTCTATTTTATCACTGATAAAGAGCACTGTGAAGGTTAATTCAGGCAACCCCTTTGAACCAGCATTTTCAGTTCCCTTTTCACCTACTTGAAACCTCAAGACCAAAGTGAAAAGGTGAAAAAAACACAAACCTAAACTCTACTGAGTGGGACTGCAGGTATATATTGCTGGATAAAGCTGCATCAAAAGTGTCATAACTGAATAAAAATAGGTAAATCCCCAACATAATCCTAAAAAAAATAACTAATTACAGGGGAAACTCCGTGTGCTTATAGAGTTTTGCCGGATTTGGTCGTTCTGGCGGTTGCCGGCCCCTGCCCCATCCCTGAGGGGTGGGGGGAAGCAGCAGAGCACCCCCTTTTCACCCTGAAAGATGAAACAGAGCTGCAGTGGGGTGGGATCAGTGTCGGGGAGCAGTAGCAGCCCCCGGGCTTGGCCGCTACCGGCCCGGGCAGCGCTCCAGGCCGCGGTGCCCGTAAACATCCCCAGCGCCTTTATTGGCAATCGCCGCTGAAGGTCACACATCAGCAGCGGGCCCAAATTCCAGGAAAAAAACCCTCTTCTTATGTAACTGCCGCCTGAATGTTGGCAGGTGCCCAGCGGAACAGCTCACTGCAATGTGGCTGGGAGGGGAGAAAGGAGAAGGGAAAAAAAAAAAAGAAAAAAGAAAGAGGCAAAGTAGGCCATGTGGCGGCACATTCGGCATCCTGCGCGTGCCACCTGCAGGTCAGCGCCGAGCGCTCGGTGGGGCAGCTCCCAGAGAGCCGGGTCTGCTCCAGGAACCCGCTGGTTTAGTACCCAAGGCTCGCACTGCAGGTGGAAACTGGGCCACGGTGTCCCCGGGCCGAGGAGGATGGGTGGGAACAGATCCCAAACGCCTCGGCAGGGAGGGAGAGCTGCTGCGGAGCTGCCCTGGAGCCCAGGGAGCCCATGGTGGAGCCCATGGTGGAGCTCACCAGGGCAGCCCCGGTGGGAAACACCGGGAAATCTGCATTTGCATCACGCCTGGACCTTTCAGCGGGCTGAGGGTTGAATTAGAAGTAAATTAAGGTGTTGTGTCTAATCGCAAGCAGGGTTTAGTTATTCCTGGTGTGAGAAGATTCACACTCGAGGGCACTCGGGGAAAAATTTAACTCGGCCCTGAACCTCTTCCCTGTGACACCAGCGCAGGCAACAGCTCCACCAGGAACAGGATCACAGCAGTTCCAGCCCACTGAGGAGTCCATCAACACGGGCTCAACCCGAGGGCTTTTAAGGACAACACACTGCCCTGCCCAGAGGGTTTCTACTTTATTACCTGACACTTGCACAGAGCCAATGTCAAGCCCAGCTTACGGAGCTCTTCAGCTCCTGATGCCCACCTGATGCTCCAGGAGAGGCAAAGAAGAGCCCCAATGCACCCCAAAAGCCAAGCTCTGAGCAGACAACCCACCAAGATCAGGACAGAACCAACACGGTTTCCAGTTTCCCACGGTTTTGTTCTCTCTCAAAACAAACCCTGCTCCTCATCCATCTCTTAGGATACCTTTTCTCCTCTTTATTTTAATACCAGCCTTACACAGCCCCTATCCCAAAGGTCTGCACACCTTTACAGGTTTACAGGAACCTGAATGTTTGAAAATACTGCAGGATGACTCATTCTTGGTGAATCCTAATTTCTGACCCCAGAAGAAAACCTTTTACATAAATCCTGCTACAGCAGTGGATGGTGCAGAGTTCAAAGCCAAAGCACATGTACAGGAGCTTAAAGATGCTCGTTTTGTATTTCTGCTGGACCAGTTCATGATCCTCAGATACAGCACAAGGAACTGCACTACCCCTCCTCTTCCCTTGCACTCCACTCTTCCAGCACCCCAAAACCCCAAAGCTCAGCTCAGGTCACAGCATTTACCACCCTTCCTGCAGGGGATTTCCTCCCATGAGGGTGAATTCCAGCATTATTCACCCACTTCAAAGGGCACTCCCTTCTTCACTCACAGAAATGTTAAGGGGGGCTGGAACACCTATTTTCTATCATGACTTTCACTAACATCTCCTGGAATTTTTAATATCCTTTATTATTTGGACCCACTGCCCACTGAAATGACCTTACAGTACACAACCAAGACAAATAACCTACATAAGCAACCACATAAGTACCATGAAATTATGTCATAAACAGTTACTTCAATAGAGCTTTTCCCCAAGGGAATAAGGAGAATTTCAACTGATCAAAACCATTAAGTTGTGCATAGTTTGATACAAAAGAAAGTTAATAATTTCACTAATAATGGAGATGTTTGTATCCTTTGCCCCAAATGTTTATATAATTTCCAGGGTTGACAAGGGGAAAAAAAATAAAACCACAAAACCCCAGGATTTCTGAGAATTGCCAGTGGGTTCAAACTCCAACTGAAACTCTTTCCCTGAGCAGTCAGTGCTCGGTGCTGATGGTTACACACACACCTGCTCCCTCCATGCACTTGCTCCATCAAG